AGAGAGAGAGAGAGAGAGAGAGAGAGAGAGAGAGAGAGAGAGAGAGAGAGATTCACTTATTTTCTCAAACCTGACTCAAAAACAATATTTCCATGCCTCTCTTTCCACTGAACATCGGACACAAATTTTCTTGCTTCTCTGCACTCAAATTAACTTCAAACGCAAATTCTCTGTGCTTCTCTTTTTGTTAGGCCTAATGAATTCCCAAGACAAAGTTTTCTACACTTATGAACTCCCAAAACAAAATTTGCGTGCTTCTCTTTGCACTAATCTCAGAAACAAAAAACAGTTTTCAGGCTTCTCTTTACACTGCCTAACCTCAAAAACAGCTTGTGTGCTTCAATTTATTCAGTCATAGCTCAATAATTGTGTTTCCGTTCCTCCACAGATCTGATTATCGATATTCTGACCTGCCGTCTGAACTGTGAGGAGCAGCTGAGTGCTGTGTACTCCGAACCCATTGACTTTTTCCTACAGGATATCTTCCATTATCTCAACTTTGCTTATTACAAAGGTATGTAGATTGTCATCTATGGTGTAGTGGTTTGGGGCTTCTCTGTCTCATACAGAAGACCTAAGTTTGATTCCCTCATAGGGAATGCAATGAAATGTGAGGTGTGCTGACAAAATGAGTCACTTCTCACTGTTCAAGAATGGAGATATCGGCCGAAAATTGACACTGGGGTCAGATTTATAGATTTCTAATAGGTGCTATTTTGTTCAAGTCTACCATGTCTTTGATTATTCCACACTTACAAATTGTACAAACTCCACCTGCAAAGTTGATGTATTAATTTCCATAAGGCTAAAATGGGAGAAGTAACTCATTTTGTCTACACATCTCACAAATGTTTTATCATTTCTTCGTCTTTGTATACCTACTGTACTGTACTTTGATAAGATTGTGCTCTTACAAAGTGAAAGTCCAATAAGATGAGAGATATGAGCATTTCAAACAGTTCTTGGAAAAAAACATGCTGTTAGTTAGAGGGTGCTGCTGATAGGTCAAACTTCTTTTCTTTTCCACTGCTGTTACTGTCTGTCCATCTTACATTTTCCTTCCTCAGAGAGATGGTTATTGTGTTGATGTACGTATCTTTACTATATTTTAACACTTTGCAGTCACTTGCCGCAATAATGCGCCGGTGAAAATTATCCTTTCCAATCACAGACCCGAGAATTTCATGCAGTCACTCCCCTGGCTGGGTGACCAGATGGGGTATTTTGTACTGCTGGCTGTGTGACTGCAAAGTGTTAACTCTAACTTGGAGAAACCTATCTATCCACAACCATAGCCTTTTATAAAGAAATATTAAGACGCACTCCCCCATTATGAGAACAAAATGAAGATATTTGCTTACCATCACAATGCTATAGAATGAAGAATATTCTGCCGTCATTTTTTAAAAGTACAGTTTATGAAGTTTTTAAAAAACAATTTAACAGGAGAGCCAAAAAAACTGACGATTGTTTCCAATAAAACAACTGCTGCTTTAAAGATAATAAGGACATTATTATCAAAATTGTACATTTAGAAAATATTTTTGACGTAGGATGTTTGCAAAGAGTTTGTTTTCTTGGTGATAATATTCATTTGTATTTGTCTTCCATGTGAAATTGTAAAAACTGCATGTACTGTACTCGTATTTAAAAAAATGACAGCATCATTGAGAAAATAAAAGACTGTTGTTTCTTCATGTTGCAAAAACTCTCTTTTTTTAATAGTCGGTGATTATGAGAAATCGGCAGAGGCAATCGCCTCTTGCCTGCAACTCAATGGAAGCCATCAGGTGATGAAGGACAACAAAGAGGTACTAAAGAAGAAAATCGACTATGCAGATGAGGACTTTGTGGCTAGAGAGGTGAGCAAGGGGGGAAAAAACATACTCCTTGGGATCTTCCAACTTCCAACTATTTTTGGGAGGTGTTAGTTCCACTGAAGTGCTGTGCTTGAATTAAAACTCTTTTTTTGGTAATGTGTGCTATTTGACTGTCTAGTTCAGAGTAAATTTATTAGAGTCTAAAAGTATCAATTGAAACATCTTCTCAAATACATCTAGCCTGTGCTTGGAGCATTCATTTTTGAAAGATTTTTCATTGGAACT